TTAGAAGACCATGATGCTTGTGTCATGTCTGAATGACTTTTAATCTAATACTACTTATTGAATGAACTTGTCATCTCACCAACATTTCACAATTGCATGTTTCAGGTATATGCTCTATCAAGAGATCAGGGAGTTCCATTTTCATCCGCATCTGGAGAAGAGTGCATCCAAAACACAAGGTTCCAGCGAATGCGGTGTGGCTGTGTGCAACCATCTGCATTCTTCTTGGACTACCTATATTGAAAGTTAATGTGGTCACTGCAATAACTTCCATATGCACAATAGGATGGGTATGCTGTTCCAATTTTTGCAAGGATGGTCATGGCTGAGAAGAACTTCAAGCCAGGGCCATTTTATCTGGGCAAAGCAAGAAGGCCAATTTGCTTGATAGCCTTCTTGTGGATCTGTTATACCTGTTCAGTCTTCTTATTGCCAACTTTCTATCCCATCAACTGGAAATGGTGATATTCCTAATGGGAAGGTTTAATTTCATAAATTTGCTTCTGTTTGTTAACGTTGATATTCCTAATAATGCTTTGGTGGTTTCTGGATGCAAGGAAATGGTTCAAGGGTCCTGTTAGAAACGTTGATATTCCTAATGGGAAGGTTTAATTTCATAAATTTGCTTCTGTTTGTTAACGTTCCCATCAAGTGAATGTTTTCTTGATTAAGTTAATGAATTGATTACTGATTACTGATAAAAAAGTTCCTACCAAATGGAAAAAGTCATAGGGTCCAATTTTCTGTTATTGTAGTTGACAGGTCTTTCTTGTGATTCTTCCAAGGCATTAACAGGGCAGAATTGGAAACTTTGGCTGATTCCGGTTCCAGCTTCTAGTTGAACCAAACAGCAGGAAACTGAACCAAACAGATGCCAAGAATGGACCATTCCGATTCTGATTCCAGAGGATTCTGATTCCGATTCCGATTCCAATTCCAGCTGCGAACAAAACGGACCCTTCGAATTAAAACTTTACCCTGAAAGGGAAAATTTATGTTCTATATCAGGGGCCTTCACGGCTCACAAAAGGACAAACCTTGGAAAACTATTTATAAGACTTTAAAAAGTTATGAAGGAAGTTATCTTGCAAAGGGATCCTTGATAGTAAAACTGGAAAGCAAGTCAATATTTTGATTTTGTTAATAGATCTATCAATTTTTTTCTTGGTCCAGAACAGATTCAATATAATACCCTTATGACTACACTTATTTTCATCAATGTGCATCTTTAGCTTCATTTTCATTGAACAGACTAATTGACTCCTCCCTGTTGTTAATCTGTGGCTCCTATTGTTGATTCTCATCTCTTTGTTTTTCCAAAATCAGGAGAGCAAATTGTGAAAACACCCAAGGGTAAAGGTCTTCAAAGACCTGAAAATCTTCCAAATGAGGTTTGGACCTTCGTCTACTTTTCTGTTTCTGGAATAATTAAAGAGATCTTATGCTGAAATTTAGTTTAGCTTGAAACCAAAATGGATAGCTTTTCTTTGCAGCAACTGAATGAGAGAAAAGCCCAATCAAATCCATTACTTGCTTTATTGAATGCAGTTGGAATTATTGGTTCTGGTGTTCTTGGTGCATTATATGCACTGGCGCAGAAGGAAAAGTCAGTGACTGAAGCAACAATTGAATCTGTATAGCAGCTCCATACCTTCGTAATTGGGTTATTTTATTTTTTCTGTTTCAACTAATACACTTGTAAATAGTATGGATTTTAAAATGTGTTATTTGTTCTCAGTAATGGAAGCTATTTTGAGACAGGTTGGTAGTTTTTCTGTTAGGTATTGCCTAACTCAGGGACTCTTTCGAGGGATCCTGCCTCCTGAATGAGAGAGAGAGAGAGAGAAAGAGAGATTGTATTCCCAAATCGATAATCCCCTCCTAGCTTCCTTTCCTTATTTATATACTGTTGTTACAATTTTGTTATACCCGCCTCTCCACTTGTCCAGTTTGTTAGTTAGTTTTTTCTAGTGGTTGGCTGTTAGTTACATTCTGTAAAGGCTGGCGCGGCCTTTTCTTGTACACTTGTATTCCCTTTATTTGTGTCTCAACAGTCCCTCCTCCCTTGAAAGCGACCTTGCCCTCAAGGTCAAGATGTGAAAATCTATTCTGTAAATCCAAGTAAGGTTCCCAACTTGCATCCTCAATTGGGAGACCTGACCATACCACCAGTGCCTCTGGTCCGATGTGATTCCCTTTGTGTATCCACCTGAAATCTGTTCCTTAGGTTCTTGGAAGATCACTAAAAACTTCTGAAGTAGCTGCTGTAGTTGTGTGCGGCCTTCTTCGGATCTGCTTCATTGGGCTAGAATGGAGCCGTTCCCGTGGGAGTCTATCTGCATTAAAACGATGTGGGTTGGGTTTGCTGCTTGTTTCCTTAGGGAGGCGAGACTAATAGGTCCTGGACCCTTGGACAGCTGCCCTTAAATATGCACCTGTGAGCTGCCCACTTGAAAATCCATGGTGAGACGTGCCCAATCACATATCACAGGCCCTAGTTGCCTTAACCATTGGACTCTGAGAACTACATCTGCTCCACTGATTTCCAGGGGGTGCAGATCTACCTCGAACTCATGTCCTTGTATTTTCATCTTTAATTCTGTGCACGTACTGTCGCACACCAGGTTGCTCCCATTAGCTACGTGCACCCGGAAGGTTGTACATGGTTGGACCGGAATCCCTAGTTGTCTGACCAATGTTTGGGTAATGAAATTGAGAGTGCTGCCACTGTCTATCAGAACTGACACATGGCGCCCTTGTACCAGTCCGGTTACTCTCATAGTTTGAGAAGAAGCAAAACCGGTCAAGGCTTGCAGGGATACTTCCGGGTATTCCTTTGTCCATTGCCCCCATTCTTGGTTGTCCATTGGCTCTTCAATGT